TTTCTCGCTACAACATCCATACTTGACGTGGGAAGGCACCGATATCCGTCCGATGGCCGACGAGGTAGCAGGGGCCTCCCCGCGGGACCAGGAATGCGACGAGCTCAAGGCGGAAATCGACGAGCTCAGGAAGGCGCTCGCGGCGAACGCCGTGGAGCTCGCCGAGGCGCGCGAGGCCCGGGGGTGGGCTGCGGAGCGCGCCGCGCCGCTTCCCAAGCCCAAGGGCGGCGTTTCGCTGGGGAAAGTCGACGCCTGCGAGATGGAGCTGGACATGCGCATGGTCCAGGTCCTCGTCGACCAAGCCTTGGCCGCGTCCGATCAGCTCGAAGACGCCTACGTGGAACGTGGCCGCGCCGGCGGGCTGTTCCTTCGCGATCACGCCGCTCGCTTCCTCGCGGTCGTCCGCCGGAAGCTCGACGAAGTGCAGCGCAAGCTCGACCAGGTGCGCTCGCTGCCGAGCGAGGTGCACGCGGCGCACGAGTTCGCGAAGCTGGCCCACGCCATCATGGCGGAGCTCGTCCACCACAATCGCGTCAACCTCCCTTGGATCAAAAAACGCGTCGCCGCGTCGGAAGAGGCGGCGAAGGTGCAGCTCTCGACGACGGCCATCTACGACCTTTGGAAGATCGCGAAGTCGTTCGCCGCGCGCGTCGACTGGGTTCCGAACCAGGAGGATCTCGTCTACGACCCGACGAACGGCGGCAAAAAGAAGACGCGCAAGGAAGCTGGGCTGGCCAAGAAGGCCAAGAAGCGGGCGAAGAAGAAGGAGGCCTAGGCGGCGGAGCGCGAGCCGGACGGCGGCTAGCCCTCGCCCGGCGGCGAGAAGCGCTAGGGGGTCTAGCGGAAAGTAAGTGCCTACCTGCCCTCCATCCCCGGTGTCCCTGGCCCCGGCCGCGCGACCTGCGCGCGCGCCGAGGACACGTCGTCGTACCCAGCCGCCCCGACGTCGGCGTAGAGCGCCGAGAGTGCGTCCACGTCGTCGCCGTCGACGCCAGTCGCGAAGACGGAGTACGCGCCGCTCGCGAGCGTCGAAATCGTGCGCTCCGGGAAGGAGTCGACCCCGTCGTACTCGTACCAGCCGGCCATCTCGTCGGTCTCGGACGCCGGCGACACGTTTAGGTCACCGTCGACGTGGATCACGAAGATCGACGCCGTCGGCGCGCTCGGCGAAGGACCGAGCCCCGTCGTTCTCGTACCGCGCGGCCTCGGTGTCGTCGGAGGACGCCGCGAGCGGGTCCGGTCGACGGCGAGCGCGAGGAACGTCCGGGCGCCGTTTTCCGAGGCCGCGACGTCGCTCTCCGTGACGGACTTCGACCGGTGGGTGCGTCGTCGTCCAGTTCACGTCGCGCCGCGGCCGAGCCCCTTCCGCGGACGCGTGGCCGCGGAACAGGCCGCGCGCGCGCCGTCGACGACGTCCGCGACGTTTTAGCACTTCTTCGCGTCGACGACGTCGATGACCTCGTCGTAGTTCGCCATCGTCGCGTCTGGGCGCGCCGCGTCCGATCGGCCCGGCCGCCGCGGGCGCCGCGCCGCCTCGCCGAACGCGTCCGCGCTCGTGGCGACGCCCTTGAAGGAGCAGAGGTGGACGTAGCCGTGCGAGAGGTCGGCGGCGCGCACGTCGTGGTACGTGGCGCGCGGCGCGGCGACGTAGCGCAAGCGCCGCAACCCGTGGCAGCCGCTCGCAGCCGAACCTTGGCCAGAGCATCGCCTCGGCCGCGCCGCTGCCGCCGAGCCGTCGCGACGCGCGCGGCGGTCGGCGGCGGCGGCGCGCGCGCGCATGTCCAGCAGGCGCCGCGCAGCGCGCGCCGCTAGCGCGCGCGCGTGCGCGTGTCGGCGCCTCTCGAGATGGACTCGCTGCCGGCGCGCGTGAGCACCATGACGCGGCGCGACTAGCGCGCGGCGCTAGCGTCCGGCGCCCGGCGCGAGCAGCGATCGAGCGTTCGAGACGCTCGACGGCCCCGCCGCGCGACGCTACGGACCGCTGCGCGGGTGTCCTCTTGCAGCGGCGCGTCGCCCGTCGGCGTCGAGCGCCGCCTCTGGAGACCAGGTAGCACCATAGTCGAGCCGCTCAGTTCGACGTTTTGCGCTTTCCGCCGGCGCCGGCGGCGGGCCGCCGACGGCGTCGCGCGCGACGCGTCGTCGTCCGGCCTGTCGGTCGTCGCACGACGCCGTCTCCCACACGGNT